AGAGGCCTCCAAACTGATTACTCAGGGGCGACAGGCTCTAGACCAGTTTGCTTTAAAGCAACTGGAAGAGATCATGGAAGCTACTCGCAAGGGGGAAGTAAAAACAGAAGTAAGTGAAGAATCGATTGATTCCAATATCCACAGCTAAGAGAGGCCTTGGCTGCGGAAGAAAGAAAGAAAGAAGAAGTATCTCGAAGAAGAGAATAGGAACACCGAAGAGAACAAAGAGTTAAAGAGATCAGGCAAGTAATAGGAACAAAAGTCAGTGAGCAGGCTGACATGTCACAAACGTTGGCTCATATTGTGACATATCTTACCTTTTTAGAAGAGAAGATTGATAGACAGCAGAATCAGTTGAGAAGAAGGAGAAGAAAGAAGTAAAAAAATTGATGGGGGGACGCAATAAAGTCTGCTGGTCCTGTGATAAAGACAAATGGAAATGGAAATGGATCCAATGGAAATGGATCAAGTCCACCATCTACTCCTCACTCTTCTCATTCTTCTAAGTCTACTCCTAAAGAAACCCCAGAAAAGATACGCGCTGAACCCGAAAAACCGAAAAAGAAAAAAAAAGTGAAGATGAAGTTGCCATTTACGTTTTGCAACAAGAAAGAAGAAAGTCTGTTGCTATGGATTGCAGAAATCCAGACGTATGTGAGTACCGCACCGGTCGAGCCGGAGTCCCAAGTCGCGTTCACCACTTCTTGCATGGGTGGTGAGGCCAAGCAATGGGTGTTGGCCGAGGCCAATGCGGCAGGTTTCGAAGATATCGGTGAGTGGGCAAAGACACTGACGCTGAAACAATTCTTGGCGAAAACCAGGGACCGTTTCCTCGACAAGACGACGGCCGACAAGGCCTTTGACCAATTGACGTCAATTGGTCAAAAGCATTGGACGTTAGTTGAGGCTTTGTCCCGAGAAGTTGAYCGATTGTTGCAAGTTCCAGGATTGAACCTGCAGGACAGCCAAGTGTTGTACATCCATTCCCGCGCGTTGCCTGAGCCCATCCGGGGACACTTAGTCACTGAAGCGAAATCCGGTAAGTACAACTACAGGCAATTTCGTGACCTTGCCCTGCAGAGGGAACAGATGACTTCTCAAGTCAAGAATTCCTATGCAGCGGTAGTTAAATCTGGAGGAAGACAGTACAATGGGAAACGAGTTCTCTGGCGACAGAAGTGCCAGGACCACACCCTTGTCGTCTTTGATGACGACACAGTGGAAAATGGCCAAACGAGGAGAATGATAACAACAGTGACTCCGGGAAGGGGGAAGTCACTGTTGTTGTGGCCAATAAGGGAGGACCACCCAGGACAGGAGGGAAGAAACAAAGAGCGTTTCCATGGCACCGTGGCATTGCTGATGGGAAGCCATGGGTCGAAATGGGTATGACTAGAAAGACTTGGCAAGAGCGCATGGACAATGCGCAATGTCTCAAGTGCAGCACAGCAGGACATGTGATCGCCTACTGCCCTCAGATCCGGAACCCAAAAGCGAACAGCCAGTAGGAGTAGCATCTGCTCCTACTGAGATTAAGGGTAAGAACGAACAGACAGGTAAGGCGCCTACGACCCCTTCCTACCCTTCTTCTCAATTGGCAGAGGATGATTCTTCCTTAGCCCATCATCCAGATCGCCCTGATATTGTCTTATGTTCTGTCTCCCTGGATGACTCCCTTGATGAGTTAGGTAACGAATTGCTAGCATTACGTAGCTCATGGGCTCGAAAGGCGAAGACTAAGGGCGAGTTGTTGTTTGCAGATGTTGAGATCGCACGAACACGAGTTGGTGCGATGTTAGACCCAGGATCAACGAGATCCTACATCTCCGAGAAGGCAATCCGTAAGTTGCATCTCGTCATGAAGGTAAAGGAGAACTTAAAGAAAGCTCAGGACCGGATGATCGAACAAGCTAATAAGCATCGAYGACCATCAACGTTCAAAGAAGGTGATTTGGTCTGGGTCAAGTCTAAAGAATTTTCACTAGAAGAAAATGTCTCTCAGAAACTCCTACCTGTCTATTTTGGACCCTGGGAAGTTCTTAAAGTGATTGGAGATGCCGAGGGACCGTCTTATAGAATTGATATACCCCCTCATCTCAGGACCTATTCTGTTTTTCATGCGTCTAAGTTGTTACCTTATGTAGAAGGAGATGAATTCCCCCATAGACCATCTAYGATACCGCCAGATATGGATGGTGGATATGAAGTGGACCGAATTATAGAACAAGGATTTTTCTCTACAGGTGCACGAGGACGACCCCAGAAGCAATTCAAGGTTCGTTTTAAAAGTCAGAGCCCATCYGAGGACAGATGGTTTAGTAAAAGAGAACTCCTTGAATCTGCTCCTGATATTGTCTCTGCTTATGAACGTGGGTTGAAGTCTTAAATATTTCTGCGATGGAACTCGAAATTTGGGTCGACAGGAATGCAGTAACCCTGTTCAACAGCAGACCGGGGCTCAAAACTTTGCCCCCGGTAAGACACAGACTCAGTTGTCTGTGCTGGGCTATGTGACCGAGACATGCCCAGCCTGAGTCTGTCGAGGAGGCTGTGTGACCAAACGCAGCACAAGGGAAATTCAACAGTCAAAGACAACTGTAGAGTCAAAGGTACCGTACCCAGGCCTATGGACAGATACATTCACTTGTTGTGTGCAGGTTCCCAAACAGCATTCAGGGCGGGAGAAATACAGTTTCTGGCCGATCTGGGCCCTCATTCATATCGAGATCTGGACGGTGCAGGACCTCAGTACCCGRGGTCCAGACCCCGCATCCACGCTATTTAAGAGTTGACTTCCTGGCTGGAGAACATTCGGTCTTGCGTGAATGCTGACTTCACGCGTGGACTTGACGCTGTTGCTATGCTGCGACATTGCGACATTGGCTTGACGCCGGCTATATGCTGGCAGAGGAGGACAGCAAGGCGCTGCTGGCTGGCAAGGTGCTGGCTGGCGATGGTCTTCTGGGCATGCTGACGTGGCAGCTGCCATGCGCCGTTGCTGACGTGGCCGCTGCCACCTGTATATGATTGATGACGTGGCTGGCTGCGAGGTTGATGAGGCTGTTCTGATTCTTCGTCACTTCGGAAGGAGATCAAGACTGGTTATCGAGGATACGTACCTGGTTGATGACGATACTCTCCATTTGCTGATGTAGACAGATTGACGTGCCACGTGGCACCTTGAGGAAGAACTTCAGACATTGTATTCAGTCTATTGATTGATGAGGTGGCGAGGRGGAGGAGGAACCCGAAGTAGAAGTGGGCTGTTGTCTTCTTCTCTCTCCTTTGTCTATTCTCCCTCTCTCCTCCTTCGTCTGTGTATGATTCTCACCTCATTCTATCATTACACATATTACGATTGTTTGTCATTTCATCAGCAGATCGATAATCATAGGGACTGGTAATGTTGACGAGTATCATCACGTCTGGGCTCATTGCAGAGGGCTCTTGTTGATTTGCTGGCCCGCCTTCACTTAGGGCGGGCACGAGGCTTGCTGGGGGCCTTAGCCCAGAACATGTACATCATGGCAAGGCCCCTTCTTGAGGGCTCAATCCTCACAGCTGTTGCTCGTCTTTCCCATTACCTCCGACACCTCCTCCTCTCTGTCCGCTCTCCTTAAACCCTAAACCCTACTGCCCTTAGTGACGTGGAAACCCAGTCCGCGGTTGCTCGTCTTTCCCATTACCTACGACACCTCCTCCTCTCTGTCTGCTCTCCTCTTTTTTGTTTTTTAGCCCTACCCTCTACTGCTGTTGTTCCCCTTTCCCTTTACCTCCGTCACCTCATCTTCTCCCCTCACTGTCTTACCATTCTCCATTTAAAAACCAGCTTCCCGCCCTTAATATTAGCTACCGCCTCTTGCCCCAGCACGTTCTGGACGAAACGAGTCCTGTACTCATTCGCCTGTTCTGGATGTTGCTGGCTTTGTCTCCTCACCCTCTTCCATTGTGCTTGCAGGTCAGTTTCGATTAGGGTGAAGAGAATCTCCTTTGCCTCCTGCTTATGCATTAACCGCTTTTCGATGGTGATTTGGCATCTTCGTTTCCAAATAGTCCAGAGCCTGTATTGTCTGATCAGTTGGAACATGTGCCTCTCAAATAGTTGCCATTGGCTTGGGAGGTCGATCCCCAGCAGTAAGGTAGTCGTCCGTGTTGGAAAAGGCGCCTGTGAGAAGTGGCTCCAGATAGTCTTAACTTCCTCCCAAATACAACACGCCTCTGCGCATTCCAAAAGGCAGTGTAACATTGTCTCCTGGGTCCCTGCCTGGTGTACTGTGCACAGTGCATTGGCAGGGTCCTGCTGGGCCTGACTTCTCCTCTCGTTTAACCATGCGTTCACCGGAAGGGCTACATGGGCTATTGACCACTGCATACTTCTAACTCTTCCCAGACGTATTGTGTTGATCAATGCCCATGGTATTTTGAGTAACTGGTTCGGTGGTACCCCTACCCTGTTCTCCCATCGCTTTGACAGCGGCGCCGTGAGGGGGTGAGATCTCCTTCTCAATCTGTACCCGATTTGAGTGGTGTAGTGCAAAATGTTGACTCTTCTGGTTGCTCCTGTTCTTCCGCTTCTGATGTTCCACGCCCACTCCCCTGGATCCACCTCCAGATCTTCCACCGGAGTGGTTGGGTGAAATATTGTGAAGTCTTCTGTCTCAACCACTCTTACTTTACACAGGTGCTGTTTTTGAATAGTGACTGGCGTTTCGGAGTCCCGATCCAGTAGGCAAGTGGTGCTGCCCGGATTTTTGATAGTATACATGTCTGCGTGTAGCCATTCCCTTCTTGTGGGCTCTTGGTCCCATATTCTGAAGGCTTCCCCTGGTTCCTCATCGCTTTGCCATGTAGCCCAGTCTCCCAGGCCCCATTGTGCTCCTTTGCTTAATAACTCTGTCCATCCTTGTGGGATGGCCTCCAAGAGGACCTTGAGGTTCTCAGGTAGTCTGAGGCATCCCCTTAGGTCTGTCTTTAGTTCCCCGACAGTCTTCCACCGCTTTTCCCCCTCTGCCCATAGATGTTTTACCTGCCATACCCGGTGCTCTAACCACTTCCCCCACTTAGTATCCTTGGCTGAGAGTGTTAATGGTTTCCCCTGTGCATCCTTGATACTTGAATTGCAGAATAACAGGGGAGAGCGGCTAAGGTAAGGGAGCCACGCTCTCCCCTGTTCCAATTCTGGCACACTAGTTCTGTGGTTTGCTCCCATATCCCGATTATGAACACAGTACACGCGTCACGCCCATGCTCTGTGAACCCATTCCATGTGCTCCCTGATCATCCTCCGATATGGATTCTGCATCCGACCTGTGACTCTAATGACAGCTGCTGTCTCACTCGTCTTATCTCTTGGTTCCCTGCTGCGCCTGCTGGATTTCTGGCACTCGACTTTGTCCCTTGCTCCAACGAGCTGATGTCGAATGCGCCATATGCGCCACGTCCATGCCCTGTGAACCTTTCCCACCTCTCCTATCTGCTTCCTGGTATGGATTCCTTCAATGGTCCCTCCTAGCCCCTTACCCTACCTCGCCCTTCCTGCTTTTTTACCCACACCGATCTCTGCCGGAGCGAGGTGCTTTCTCACTCTCTGGCTCGGATAGCTCGACTAAGCCCACACATGGGCAGTCTGGGGTTGCTGCTATGTGGCCACCCCTCCATAGGGTTATGGACTATTTGCTATTGGATGAACAACGAAGGAGTTCGAGTTCGGGATTTCTTCCCCGACTGGCTATGAATCTTGGCATTACGATCTGATGAAAACTACTACAAGTAACAGGTAAGACACTCAGTTCACGTAGTGCATCCTAAGTCCCCTGATGATGGCCGTTTGCCGAGTCAGCCGAAAAGCGGTGTAGGGGCGTCTGCGATGTGATTTCTATGTGTGCTCTCAATGCCTCTCAATGCCTCTCATTGTTATTATTTTTCATGAAGATACCTATCTGTGCTCCAAGTGTCTTGTTGTTTCCTCCTGTTCCCCTCCACCTCCTCCTCTCAAACTCTGTCTTACTGTATGTTGAAACGAGTCAGTGCTGTGTTCAACTTTTTTTTTTTTTTTTTTTTTTTTTAAACAGGTCCTTATGGCCCTGGCTCCATTTCCATTCTGGGGAGCGTCAGTCCGGTTCCTATTCCACCGGCAAGT